TTTGGTCCTGCTGTTCTGCCTGAAGAATGCTTGTCCAGCACCTGTTGGCCAACTACAGCACAACTTACTACTGAATGCCATGGGTGACTTTATTCTAGCATCCTTGCTTGCTACCTAAAAAATGATCTGAAAAAGTAATACCTGATTATTGAGAGAAAGCAAGTGCTTATCTTTTGTGTTTGACAGAATCCTACATACCGTGGCTTTCGTATAAAAGTCAACATGTAGCCCTGGCCAGTTTGGCTCATCGGTTAGAACGTCGGCCTGTGGTCCGGAGAGACCCAGGTTCGGTTCCCGCTAAGGGCACGTACTTCGGTTGCAGTTTGTCCCCGGCCCTGGTTGGTTGTGCGGGTGGCAGCCACTCGATGTGTCCCTTCACGTAGATTTTTCTCTCTCTCTCTCCCTTCCTCTCTCTCCCTCCCACTCTATCTGTACAAAAAATGGAAAAATATCCTCGGGTGAGGATAAAAAAAAAAAAAAAAAGTCAACATGTATGTTGCAATGATGCTCATCTCTTTTCTCTTTGGCCATGAATCCCAGACAAACCTAGCTTTGAATTTATGCTTTGTCACTTATTGGGTGTGTGACCTTGAGTAGGTTACTTGCCTTGAACCTTGTTTTTGTTATCTGTACAATGGGGCTAATAGAACCTATTTTACAGAGATTTTGTGAGTATTAGAGATAATAGATAAAACCTTGGCACAAAATAGCCACTCAGTACATAATAGTAGTTAATAATAAGGAATCCAGTGCTTACTCAGGATGACACTATAATGGCAAGACAAAATTCTCCGAAGTCTGTAGTTAAAAAATATATTGTAAGTGTGGAATATATAGTGTCATGACCGTTTTCCGGGCCAGGTCATATTTACCAGAGACACACAATTGGATGAGGATGTTAGAATCTAAACCACAATTTTGATAGCTAGGTCTATGCAGAACGTGTTCTGAGCCATTCCATGGATGAAGGTCCCTTTGAAAGCAAATTGAAGGATGTGCATCATTTAGCTTTGACTGCATAACAGAGACATTACATAGCACACAATGGAGAAAGCAGTGACCACAAGAGAGAGTTAAGCAAAGCAAAAACTCTGTTCCTATAAGTTCCTTTTGAGATTTAGGACCATCTCACTGGCTTCTTAATTTTACCATCCAAAGAGATGTATAAAGAGTAGCTCATTCCATATTCCATGTGAAGTCCCTAGTATGAGTTGTCGAAGAGATGCTTTTTCTGATTCCATCTGATGCTGAAATTTAAGGTCTGTGTTCTTATCTCTCAATGTTGATTCTACTTCCCATGGTCAAATAGAACAGTATAAGTCGCTTCTAAGAACATGAACTCCATGAAAAGTTGTCATGCCCCCCCCCCCTAAAAATTGCATAAACTGGACAAGGGATGAACTTTTGTTGGGAGGTAGCATGCAGAGGTTCTCTCGTCTGTTCATTCATTGTACATTCTGGTTCCAGAAATCAAACTCTATATTTTGCTACTTCGTTTCTCCACTTCTTTTTTTTAAAGAATAGTTTATTGCCTGGCGGTTGTGTCTCAGTGGATTGAGTGTTATCCCATGGATTGAGAGGTCCTGGTTTGATTCCCTGGGTACATGCCCAGGTTGCAGGCTTGATCCTCAGTAGGGGGCGTGCAGGAGGCAGCCGATCGATGTTTCTCTCTCACATCAGTGTTTCTGTCTCTCTCTCCCTTCCTCTGTCTCTAAACACACACACACACACACACACACACACACACACACACACACACTAAAATCATACTTTTTTAAAAAAAAGAATGGTTTAGTGATTTTTAGAGTGAGAAAGAGGAAGGGAACTGGAGAGAGAGAAACATCAATGTGAGAGAATAACACTGATTGGCTGCCTCCTGCACACCCTCACCTGGAATTGAACCAGCAACCCTTTAGTGCCCGGGGCGATGCCCAACCTACTGAGCCACACGGGCGAGCACTGTTTCTCCACTTTTGAGCTCTCTATGATTTTCTGGCTGGTGTCTGGTTTGGCATTTCTCTGCTGCTTCCTGCCCATCCCCCCACCTCCTGCCCGCCTGCTTGTAGGAGCAGGTTGGCAATACTTACAAAGGTTAGTTACATTCTTAACTGGAGGAGGAGTAAGCTCCGCACTCTTTGCTGATTGTGAGGGTACGTTCGCTCCCCCAGCCTCCCGGTCACGTTTGAAGGTATAGCACGGTTTTCTGTCGAGGACAAGGCAGTGTCTGCAGCTCCAGCAGACTGTGTGCCCTGTGTGCCACCAAACCAGCCGTTCTCTTTGAGAAGGAAATTAGACTAGAAATATTGAAACTGCACAAATATTCCAACTCTTAATATCTTCTAAATATGGTAAGTGCTGGGGTTTTTTAGGTTTTGAAGTTCATATAATGTGATTATGATTTTTACAGTCACTCATGAATTTCTGGTTTTCAGTTTAACTTTCCCTGTATCATTGACTGAAAACAGGGACACTTCTTTCACTTCAGTCTTGGGATTTCAACCTTGAAATAGGCATCTCTACTCATCGTTAGCCCTAGTCTTTAAAATTTTGTCCCTTTCGGTATATTGGAAAGTCACAGAATATTGCCATTTGTAATATTATTCCCTGTGTATAAGTGCTAGTTAGTATTCTGAGTTACTCCCATTTAAACCTAGACAATCTTTGTTGTTAACTCGTATATGCTGTCTGCCTTTCATAACCTTGAGGAAAATATAGAAGAAGGAAAAAAAACACATGCTACCTCACATATAGTCGTTTCTCATAAATGTGGGACACTTCGGTAGGTTTTGTAAATTCAACAAATAGATATTTAATTGTTACTTCTTTCAGCACACAATACTCTTGCAGTTCTTTAATTATGATGTAGATAGCTGTATTGATACTAAAAGATATTTATGCTGTACCAAATAAAATGTTTTCAGACTGCAAAACAATATGAATACTATCATAGCATGTTATGGATAAATTGTATGTATGCATATAACTTTACTTATTTAAGTATCTGTCTAATATACTGTGTATGTTTGAGTGTAGAAGAGAGCCTGCAGCCATGTAAACCAAAATATTCATAGTAATTGTTAGTAGGACTTTTGATTTTTATTATTTGGGTGTTTTCCCCTTTATCTGTATTATCTAATTGTTCACAGTATACAGTTTTACTTTGTTCTCATTTGTCTTAACTACTTTGGGGAAGAGTGGGGATAAAAAGAATACAAGTACTAACATTTTGATAAATTATGAATTACAATAATCTCTCCTGTGTCTTCCTTCTCTGGTATTGCAGACATGTAGACATGTTGTGTCACATAGCAGTAAAGCTTTCTCTAAGTCACTTCAACGTGCCAAGCACTGCGCTGGGAACTGGAAACATTGTATGAAGTGGGGTTACTGTTACCATTATGCAAAGGAGGGCAGGGTGGAGAGTTTATGTAACCGGGATCACACAGCTGTTATGTGACTGAGCTGCGATGCAGAGTCAAGTCTGACTCCGAAATCAGTCTTGTGGTCTTTATGATTCTTATTGTAGACATCTTGTCTGCCGTTAGGATGAAAAGGTTAATGTATGTGAGTGGATTATAAAGTGTTGCTTTAAAAAGAAGGTTCCCAGCGCGTACCATCTTTCACCTCCCGAGCTGTTCCCCTGTTGTGTTTTCCATTAGAGCGTAAAGTTCTCAAGAGGCAGAATCTCATCATCTCAGAAGCCCCCCCATCTCCTAGCATAGTATGAGTGTAGCCGGTGACTTCTCTCTGGGACCGGGAGGCGTGCTTTCGATCCTGAGGAACTGAGTCTGAGAATCTGCCACCAGTGGGCGTGCAGAGGAGGAGGAGGAGACTCCAGCCCGCCCTAGTGGCCACACCACTCTCTTCCTTTTAGGGGAAGGCAGAAAAAGCAGTGGCCTTCATACAGCTCGTAGGTTTAATCCCAAATACTCGGGAATCGTGTGAAAATTGCCTGTCTCAGGAACTAGACTAGCTCTGCCTCACGCCCCCTCCTAAACCTGCAAAGGCGTCTTTACAGCAGTGTCTGGAAATTTTTTAAAACTTGGATCTCGAGCTTGGTTCCTTGTGCGATGTAAATTCCACAGTCTGGTGCTGTCGCTCCCTTATCTCCCTTTGTCTTTCAGGCTTCCTCCTCCAACACGCACATCAGCTCGGTTCTTTCCCACACTTCATCTCAGACACCGTAGCTTCCTCCTGGGATTACACAGCCAGCCTGATATGTGGCCCCCAGTGCCGCTCTGCCAAGTCCACATTCCCATCCGAGCCCAATTATGGCTCCCTGTGGGGTCATTGACTTCAGCAGGGGTGTGTGGAGCTGTGGGGCGACCATTTGGGAAAGGGCAAAGTGCAGTCGTGGGGTACTCTGGTTACTTATCGAGACGTCTTCAGTCAGCTGCATGCTGGGGGTGCAGATGACACTTTAAAATACTCACTTAAAAACTGATTTCTCAGCCACCACAATGTACATTCCTTCATCATAAAGTTCACATCTCTTATGACAAAGGAATCACACATACGATTGCTTTCTGCATATTAATTGTTCAAAGCCCTTTTTATGTGGTTTTTTTTTTTTTTTTTATCCTCACCCGAGGACATTTTTCCATTTTTTGTACAGATAGAGTGAGAGAGGAAGGGAGAGAGAGAGAGAAACATCAATGCGAAGGAACACATCGAGTGGCTGCCACCCGCACGACCAACCAGGGCCGGGGACAAACTGCAACCGAGGCACGTGCCCTTAGCGGGAACCGAACCCGGGTCTCTCCGGACCGCAGGCCGACGCTCCAACCACTGAGCCAAACTGGCCAGGGCTCAAAGCCCTTTTTAAAAAAATTCTTGTGGTCGGCCACACCATTATGCATCCACTGTGCTTCAGACATTCCCTGTGCGCCCCGTGAGTGCCCGAGTGCCCGGGGCTGGGATTTCTCACTCTCTCTGGGCCTGCATACCTGTGCTGAGCTCCCGAACGGACTTAATGTTGTGTAAATCTTTTTCTCTTCCAGTTTTCCAAAGAAATTAGTCCATTTCCTGGGTGCAGAGAAACCAACCTGCTGTTTTCATATGGTGAGTGATCCTATGACTCATCTATTTCTATCCACATCGAAATGTTACCCAATCGTGCAGGGCTCTCAGAAAAAGTGCCCGACGGCACACACCTCTAGAGTTTCCTCCTGCTTGGAACCACGATGCTCTTTCTGCTCATCACACGTCCACCTCCCGCCAAAGGGAGAAATTCCCTCTGGTACTTTTCGGCCACTTCCTTTTGCTGTTCACGTGTGTTGCCTGTTAGGAGTTGCTACTGTGGCTGCTCTCACCTCGTCCCGCTGCAGAGACGACGGCAGAGGAAGTTTCTTTTTTCCAGTGACCAGTGCATGAGAACAGGGCTGTGGGCAAGGAGAAACCACTTGTTTTGTTCACATGATGTTGTCTCATGAATGCTTGACAGAGCACTCGATGGGATCTGAGAGCTCATCTGTGCACAGGTGGCTGCTGCGGCCCCGAGGGCTTGATGTCCCTGGTCTGAGGGCTTCTCAGACAACAGCAGAGCTGGGATCATGAGAGAGGCATTTGACTCCCTGCTGCGTGGTCTCCCCATTCTCCAGCCCCCCCCCCCCACACACACACATACACACAGAGAACTGTCTTTAGAATCGCAATTGCTTCTGAGGACACCGAGTTGAATTAATACCAATAAACTAATGACAACATCCCTGTAAGCCTTAGGCTAAGGCAAGTGTCAGGAGTGATGCTGTTTTGCTGTCTAACTTTCTACTTGGCTACTACCAGGAGAAGTGGGTGGAAATGGGTAGACCCAGGGCATGTCTGTGATGGACCTCATCTGAGAGGGCCTATTTTCCTCTGCGCCCTTCCCAAACCACTGCGTTTGCAATGCCGCATCACCTGCGGAGACTCGGAGCTACATCTGTATTGCATCTAGAGGTCGTGGTGCAGGTGTGCCCCGGCCAACTGTAGACCTGCACACCCCCGCCTGGTCTGCACCTGCAGAGTAAGGCTCAGCAGGTTTCTTATGGCATGGTGTAAACTTGGCCTGCCGTCAGAGAGACTCTCGGAGTACCGTTTCTTCATTTAAAAAAAAAAAAGCTACACTGTTTTTCACACGAGCAATCAGATGTGGGGTGCGATGGAAAGAACTGTGTGAATGTGGTTTTCCCCTGGAATCTCAGAAAGTGGACTTGTTTGCAGTTCTTTCGAGGACCCCTTGCTCGATCTGGCTCTGGACCATGGTCTCTAAAGTTGGTGAGCTAGTGCACTCATTTCTTTTTTTTTTTATCCTCACCCGAGGACATTTTTGCATTTATCTTCAGATAGAGTAGGAGGAAGAGAGGAAGGAAGAGAAAGAGAGAAACATCAGTGTGAGAGAGACACATCGAGTGGTTGCCACCCACACGACCCCAACCAGGGCTGGGAACAAATTGCAACCGAGGTACATGCCCTTAGCGGGAACCGATCCCAGGACTCTCTGGTCTGCAGGCCGACGCTCTAACAGCTGTGCCAAACCAGCCAGGGCTAGTGCACTCATTTCTAAACGATTTCCTCTTACCCCCTGGTGTAAGTGTAGTACTGAGGGCCTCTGTCCATTATTTTATCCCACTTGTGAACTCAATCATTTTATCGTAATGAATGAGGGCTTATCTTCTGCCCTAACCTCAGTTATTTTTAAGGAACTTGCTGCATCTCCTTATTAGTGTATAAAGATGGTCTGCTTTCTACCACTGTCAGGATGGAGTTGAGAGTCCGGATTGCTGATTCACTGAGGGATTGCCTGCTTAAGACTCTAATATAGATTTCTCCTGTCCCCAGATGCTTGGCATGCGTGAATGCGCATTCATTAGAAATGTGGATTTAAGGGTTCCCATCTCCTCTTCTTATCCAAGGAAAGCCCAAAAGGTTTATCCCCAGAGCACAGCACAGTGTGATGTGGGACGTGGAGATCTTCTCCTCTGGGGAACTGTAGCATGAAGAGATTGATACGACTGAGACAGACGACAGCTGAGGACCTTAGGAAAGTGGGAAGTACCGGGTCCCAAGCCTCCTGTCCCATTCTTTCAGCGAAGAATAAACTGAGAGAGAGGGGTCCGAGGTGAGCAATGGTAAAGGGGTAAAGTAAGGCCACCTGGACTGATGCTGGCCACCTGTGGCTGCTTTGCTTTTCTGCTGGGGTCATAAATTGTTTGAAGTTGACAGTCAGGAGGCATCAAATTACTTCCCAAAATATGCCAAACTCTTTGCTTCTCCAGGTTGGTGTGTTGGGGCGGCGGGGGGGGGGGGGGGGATGACTAAATACAAACCGAGGCCATGCGCTCCTCACTTAAAAAAGCAGCTCTGAGGCTTGTCCCTAGACTCTGGGTTTGGACCATGTATGTCCATATGCCACATTCGTGTACACCTTGTGGAGCACGAGCTGCCGGGCTCCACTGCATGGGGTGCAGCCGGCTGGGTCCTGGGACAGTGCTGCTGTTGTCCATCAAGGGTGTCCCTTTAAGGGAAATCTAGGGAAACCTCTTGCCAGCGCTGAGAGTGTTTGCTAGAGGCCAAGTAGCCGTGGCATGTGTGGGTTCCACAGCAACGTGTCTGCAGCCAGAAACAATGCAGTGGCTGGGGCAGCAGTGTCCCCTGGGCAGGAGGAGCACAGCCCTGACGCCTGTTTCCCCCTAATCCTGGCCTGCCTCCCCTCCTGCAGAGCACGTGCACTTTGTAATTGGTACTATCCGTCCCTGCTATTAACACTTGCCTCCTTTCCCCACCCAGCTGGGACTCTGTGAGGGAGAAGGCGATGTCTGTAGTAAATTCCGCAGGCCCCTGAGTGTGCTGGCAGAGCTGGCAGACCCTCCCTGCCTTCCTGATCGAGTAGGTGGAGAGTGTGCTTTCCATGGTCCCTGCCCCAGCAGCTCTGGGAGGGCGGCGGTGGGCTCAGCGCTTCCCGCCCAGTGCAGCCAGCTGCTCCCTGGAATGTGGGCAGTGGGCCGGAGCACAGTGACATCGAGGGAAACAGAGTACCCGCTCAAGGTGCTACTGGGATTCGGGACACATCGACCAGGGCAGAGGGCGGTGCGGGGCACCGCAGGGCGCACAGAGAAACACTGCGTGCTGCACGTCTTCCCGGGGCTTCTACCTGAGGGGTGCGTTCTAACCGCGCTGCTCCCTGTGTGGTTGGGGTTTTAACTTTATACTCACTTGTAAAATCCTCCATGAAACCGTTGTAATCACTCTTGATTTCAGCAGATGCTTTTCTCCCCCGATCTCCTGAAGCATTTTAAAAAAATCTTTGTCATCTATTTGACACTTGTCTTGGATTTCTTTTTTTTTCTTTCTTTATTTTATTATTATTTTTTTAATCCTCACCCGAGAGGATATTCTTCCATTTATCTTCAAATAGAGCAGGAGGGAAGGAATGAAGGAGAGAGAGAGAGAGAAACATCAACATGAGAGAGACACATCTACTGGTTGCCTCCCACATGGCCCCAATCAGGGCTGGGGATGAAATGCAACCGAGGTACGTGCCCTTGACTAGAATCAAACCCGCAACTCTTTGGTCCATGGGCCGATGCTCTAACCACTGAGCAAAACCAGCCAGGGCCTCCTCTATTGATTTTAGATAGAGAGGAAGGTAGAGGGAGAGAGGGATAGAAACATTGATGAGAGAGAACATCGATTGGCTGCCTCCCGCATGCCCCCCACTGGAGATCAGGCCCACAACCTGGGCATGTGCCCTGACCGGGAATCGAACCAGCGACCTCTTGGTGCATGGCTCGATGCTCAACCACTGAGCCTCACTGTCCGGACTTGGATTTCCTTTTTGATACCTAATGCTTTGGGAGCCTGAGCAGTCTTTCTAGGTAAAGAGTAAAGGCCTTCAAGGACAGGAACTATCTATCTTATTTTTCATCTTAAAAAAACACGCAAAACTCAACTGCTCAGAACTAGCCCTGTCGAGAGCAACCATGCCATCCATATGTCTTTATGATAATGATGCAGTCCCATCCTATCTCGTAAGGAAGTTGTGAAGCCAGTATGTAAATATATTGAAAATGCTTTTAAATTCTTCAGAGAAAAGATTTTAAAAATTCTTTTTTTTTCTAGTGTGGTTTTTAAAAACATGCAGATATGAAATCACAAAGTGAGACTATCTAAAGACTGCACACCTCGCCACCTTCCTCTCTGTGGCTGCCAGCCATGAACTGTGGAGCCCAGCGTTTCACACTGGCGCTGAAATGGTTCTTTTTTCTCAGTACTCGCTACTCTAGTGAATGTGCCTTATTATACGATTTGAGCCAGACTTTTCAGTCAAACGCCTCGCGGTGTCTTTGGAGCTCTTAAGTAGGAGATTTGAAGGATTTTAATTAAGGTGACAGGTTTGATAGGTTAGGATAGTGGTTGCTAATTTAGTTTTGAGGTGTCTGTTGGGAGAGGGAAGGCTCTTATTGTATAAAAACTTTTATCATAAGAGTTCTCAGCCCGGCACCTTCTTGTCTATAACCCACCAGTTACGAGTTGTTGCACGTGCGTGTGTGTGCATGTTTGTATCTGCCATGTGTGTGAATTTGTGTATTCTCTCTGTTTCAGGCTATGGCTCTGTAACACTTCAGTTCACTTACTTGTTCATATATAATCCTTATGAGATTGTAAACTCCTTGGGAACTGCAGAGCCTCTTATTCATTTTTTTTTTCTCTAATATCTGCCATGTAGTGTAATAATATTGCATTCTAAGTACTTAGAGTATGCCAGGTACTGCTGTATCTTAGTACAGTTAACCCCTGGACAATGCTGACTCTCCCCTGCAGTCAAATTTTCACATAACTTTTTTTTTTTAAATATGTTTTTATTGATTTTAGAGAGGAAGGGAGAGGGAGAGAGAGAGAGAAACATCGATGTGACCGTTGATCAGCTGCCTCTTGTACACCCCTCACTGGGGATTGAGCCCGAAACCCAGGCATGTGCCCTGACTGGGAATCAAACTGGCGGCCTTCAGGTGTACAGGACAATACCCAGCCCACTGGGCCACTCTGACCAGAGTTGCACATACCTTTTGACTCCTCAAAAA